AATAATTTTGTTGGAGAGAAAGGGAGAAGAATTACGTTTTAGAACTAATTTTATGTTTTGGTTTTGACGTAATTTCATCATATGGCAATTTATCTTTGTAGAAGCATCTTTTTTTTTTTTTCCTCGAACACCATTTCTATTAAGTTGTCGGAAAGAGACTATCCGATAGGGAGAGCCAATCAGGAACTGATTTGCTTACATGGGAAAAAAAGACAGTTTAGAGCTCTAGCTTTGTAGAAGTATCTTTGTTTTGTGAATTGGGGCAAATTTCATTTGACCGCCTCTGGCAACCATTGACCTTGGCACGGCTCTGTAGATAATGAGTTGAGTTAGGGGCTAGGTTACCCATTTTGACACCCCTATATACGCATTAATCTGTTTATTAATAACATGATGTTAAATATTTATTTTAAAGTGCAAAAATAAAACAATATAAGACAATATGGCACATATTGCTGAAAACAAATATATTAGATCGAACATCTTATATATGTTAATTTCAACTTTAAAAAGATAGTAAAATATGTTTTTATATATATAATCTCGTAGTAATTATTGAAACTGCTAAAACTATTAAATATATATTTTCTGCAATTTATACCACATTAATAAATAAAAAAATTCATAATAACTTATCTTAAAGAAAGAAGAAATAAAATTTGGCACATGTGTAGACTATGTTTTCATAGTAATTTATTTTATATATGTGTAGCATGTAGGATATCTTTTTCGAAAAATTTATATGAGATTCGGAATTCTAATAAGTGATTATGAAAAACTGAGTAGCTATTTAAATAGCTCACAATTCATAATCATATATAAATATATGAAAATAGAGGGTGTTATTGTGTTAATCTTATGTTGATGAAATACATGATAGTAAATTAGTATTTAAATGTAACATTAGAAAATGCATAAATTATTAATTATAATTATGGGAGTTACATGCATTGAATGGAGAAAATATATCATACAATTTATATTATTTAGGTTACAATTTAGTATTAAAGGGTGGAATAATGTATATGATTAAATGGGTTATATTTGTTGTTTGATTAGGGATAAATAAAGCCAATTTTATTAAATAGCATAAGAATTACAGTTATATTTTAAGGAATTAAATATGATAATATAGAATTAGAATTTAATGATAGTTTTGTAAAAATATAATTTTAATACTATTAATATTTATGTTTGAAAAAAAAACATTTATGTTTGAAAAACTATATGCCATGTCGTTCTCTCTTGAACGATCTCCAAACCAATTGTTGGGTAGGGTTGTTCGTGAATAGACTCAAGAATTTGAACCACCCATCTATACAATAATTGTCACACTGTAAAAAAAATAAAACTATATTATTTTTAACTATACTTCATATCCATTGTCAAACTATCTATTTTTGAATTAGACTCTTTTCATTCCCATTTTTTTTTGTGCAATAAATTTTTCATTAATAACTATAAACGAAAGATAGATAATCAAATTTTTGAGCGTTGGAAACAATAAAAAAATAAACAAACACAAACTAAACCTGGAAAGAATGACATCTTACCTCGAATATTTTAACTGACTTTAAGATAGTCACCACCTTAACATATGACTTTCGAAAATATTAAAAAATATCCAGATCTACAAACATAACATAAGAAAGAACTGACAAAAAAAAAAGAATACGCAAAAAAGAAGGATTAGAAACTATTAAGTGAATAGAAAAATGTTACAAAATTTGTGGGGCTTGAAATATGATGGTTAGTATTGAACATGTCGTACTATTTATAAAAAAATTATATTGTCAAAACAATAATAAATTGCTTTTAATATTATATATGTGAATAAAATTAATTGTAGTTTTAGCATCATGAGCTACGTTACATTTGTAGAATTAAATGTGTTATACAGTAATAGCATTTACCTTTGTATGTAGTCTACCTACATGCTAACGACAATGAAAGGTGTTTGATTGAATATTAACTGTAGTTTTCAATTAGACATAAAATTAAGTATCACACGTTCCAGCTTTGTCATTTTTGGGCTAACTTTTTTTTTGGTGTAATTTAAAGTGAGTTGTGTATTCTTTCTGAGTGATATATCAAAAATAATCTAAGGACACTTAATAATCTTTCTTAGCAGTTACATGTGTATTAATGTCATGGGAGTTTTTTCTGTGTGTTTTTGCCTTTTTGGTCAAATATGATGGGAGTTATGGTTACATTTTAAGGAATTAATATGCCAATAATAGAAATTAATGTTTAAACAAAACACATTTTCTTTCATGCATTTAAATAAACATATATAATTGATTATGTGATTAACATTATCTTATTTGGTATATTTTGAATAATTTCTTGTTTATGAGATTTCAATTCTTGAATTAGTTTTTTTCTTACACATGTTCTTTAAATTTTGAATATCTTATGCATTATAAACTAATTCTAAAATAGATTAGCTGTTGTAGTAATTATTTTTTAGACCATTGATATAATAGAAATTATTATTAGACGATCCCAAAAGAATAGAATAGAATATATTATTGTGAAATAATTTAATGTTTTATTTATTATTATTATGATGATAAAATATAAACAAATATATATGAAGCCAAAAAAATAATCTAAGGAACAAATATATAAAATTATAGGAAAATATGGTATATGAAGCCAAAAAATATATAAATGATTTACACTAATATGGCATAAAGTTGGTCTTTACATATACACTGTAGATAATAAATTGTATCAAAGAAAAAATTCTAAGATTTTATTGTAGATAATAAATTGTATGAAAGAACAAATTCTATGATTCCAATATTTTTAATTATTTTTGCATTTAAACTTTTTATATATTTTAATTGGTGTATATATATATAAATGTAGGGATATTAAAGAAGTGGTATGAAAGAAAATTTTTCCTATTAAATGTCATAATTTCAAAAAAAATATGTGCCACATGTCGTAAGAAGAAAGTGACAAATGTCGTGATAATAGAGCTCCTTACAGAAAAACCTTTTCTTATATCACATAATCAATTATTTGGTATATTTTGAATAATTTCTTGTTTATGAGATTTCAATTCTTGAATTAGTTTTTTTCTTACACATGTTCTTTAAATTTTGAATATCTTATGCAGTATAAACTAATTCTAAAATAGATTAGCTGTTGTAGTAATTATTTTTTAGACCATTGATATAATAGAAATTATTATTAGACGATCCCAAAAGAATAGAATAGAATATATTATTGTGAAATAATTTAATGTTTTATTTATTATTATTATGATGATAAAATATAAACAAATATATATGAAGCCAAAAAAATAATCTAAGGAACAAATATATAAAATTATAGGAAAATATGGTATATGAAGCCAAAAAATATATAAATGATTTACACTAATATGGCATAAAGTTGGTCTTTACATATACACTGTAGATAATAAATTGTATCAAAGAAAAAATTCTAAGATTTTAGTGTAGATAATAAATTGTATGAAAGAACAAATTCTATGATTCCAATATTTTTAATTATTTTTGCATTTAAACTTTTTATATATTTTAATTGGTGTATATATATATAAATGTAGGGATATTAAAGAAGTGGTATGAAAGGAATTTTTTCCTATTAAATGTCATAATTTCAAAAAAAATATGTGCCACATGTCGTAAGAAGAAAGTGACAAATGTCGTGATAATAGAGCTCCTTACAGAAAAACCTTGTCATATTATATAAGATAGATGGGAAGAAACAAATTAATGTTGCTAAAAGAAAACCAAGGACATATAAACTAGACTTAGTAAATTGAAAATAAAACTCTCGTTTTCTCCTTTCCTAATCGCTTTGTTCTTTCCTTTTGCCTCCTTTATGTAGCTTGATTTGCACTACACTTGGAACATAAGAGCACACAAGTGGCCAACAGTTTTTGTCTGTGGGTTCTCCAAGCTCCAATTTCATTAAGCATCCATCCTCTCCAATGATATTAATAGTGTCATGAGTGAGGTGGCATCTATTTTTTCCTTCTTTTTCAAAAACCACAGCAGCTTTCTTCTCCTCGTCAATGAAGAAACTCTTATATGAGAGCTTACTGTCAAGGTATGATATATCCATTGTGAAGAATCTGCTCCACGACACATTTTCAGCCTCAATCTTAGTTGTAATCCATATCTCAAACTTAAATGTTTCGCTTGTCTGAAATAAAGCAGCAATCTTCTCTTCTCTAACCGAAGATAGTGACGCAAACTCTGCACCCCAAGCACTAAATGGCAGAGGCAGAAGCGGTCCAAATCTCTCTCTTGTAAAATCAAAACAGATTATATGACTAATAGGTGCATAATCATTCCGTTCTACAGCACCCCAGTAAGTGTTTCCCTTGAGAGAAAGGCCACGCTGAGACATTATACGCCAGTGTGGAGAGACATCAAGAGTGGTCCATAAATCAGAAACAAAATCGTAGATTTCATACCGTAAAGCAGGATTCTCGGGCCGAAGTTTGAAATCATCTATAAACCTCAAGATTTTGGGGCTGCGACAAGATCTGTTTTCGCTATTATTTTCGTATCCGAGAGCGTACGTGTAAATATCTCGTCCTTTCCAGCCACCAGCGCGGTAATACTTTCTGGTTTGGATCCATCTTGTTTGCCCCAAATACGGATTCCAAACCACAATCTTAGTATTATCGTCTTTCAAGATGCATAACAATAAACCCTCACAATGAAAGACTTCAGATATCTTGATTTGTTCTGAATCGTCTAGGCAAGTAAGTTTACCTAGAGTCTTTGTGGATGGAGTTTCACCGACGACGATGCCCATTAAATAAACATAGTAATCCATCATAACGATCATCCGATTCTCCCCTAATTCCCTTGCTGCTGCTTCTTCTTTGTCAATGTGCATCTTCATAAAGCTACGGCTTTTGAACAAAGTGTTCCACTTTTTGCAAGTTAATCGTACTGATCTCATAAATTTCAAAGGAACCCTAGAGACAATCTCCTCTACCAAATCCTTGGGAAGATTTGACATCGTCATCGACATCGTTTCAAGTTGAAACAAGGGACCTTGACCACCACCAGACTCAACATTGGCTACAATAACCTTGAGGTTATCGAGTAACAGAGCAAATCTCCTTGACCTAACACCAAGGCCCTTGTCTTTGAGGTCAAGCTCAAGTCCGAGAAGGTTCATGTATTCTCCAGACCCATCAGCTACAAACTTCACATGCTTGTTCTCAGCGTATATCTTTCCCCATGCCTTCATCACAAATGGGTCATTCACTGCAACCAATCGATGTAAACGATGGCGTCAAATCAATACAACTAAACATTTTGATCAATTTCAGAAGTATACACAAACTCAACAAATCATTCATACTCACCACTAAAGCAAATGATATCATCAACATCATTTGATTTTAGTTCCTCTGCTTTCTCAATGAAACCAGACACATGCTTCATGCTAACCTCACAAGAAGAAAACACAATTCTCAAATCAAATCTAGAGATTTATCAGCTTAGAATCAAAACGATAAATCTGAAAAAAGTTTGAAACTTTGTACCTGCATGTGGGAGTGAAAGCACCAGGGACACCAAAGAGAATGACTTTCTTACCGGCGGCGAGAGAGTGAACGGAGGCGGTCTGAAGTTGATCATTTTCATCGAAGAATGAGATGGTTCCGTCTGGTACAACATCGCCGACAGCAATTGGAGCCATGAATGAGGAGAGATCTCTGTGGATTTGAAGAAAGGAGAAAAATGAGAGTGTTTGGACTTGAGAGCTGAGACTGAGAAAAAATGAATACTAAATTATTTTTTAGTATCTATAAGTGGGATCTACGACTAAAACCAAATAATTTTTTTTATAGAATTAAAATAGAGAATTTATAGAAACTAACCTTGGATTCAAAAAGAATTCACAAACTAACCACGAGCTACAGTACCCTGTCTCTAACATGTCGGAACAGCTGTGTAATTACGTATATGTCCTTTGTAACACGCTTTTTTTTCGAATTACATGTGATAGCATAATATATCTCTTTTTATCATGTATTTTTCTCGTACTACATGTTATTTATAAAGAACACATAGTATTTCTCGGAAAAAAACATTATATTCAGTGTAATATCTGTCTTTATCATGTTATTTTGTAATAATACACGTGTTTTATTAAGATGACATGTGAATATCTGTCTTTATCATGTTATTTTATAGTAATACACATGTTTTATTAAGATTACATGTGAATATCTGTCTTTATCATGTTATTTTGTAATAAAACACGTGTTTTATTAAGATCACATGTGATTTCTTTTTTAAAAAGATGATTATTTTTTAGTAATACACGATTTGTTTTAAGATTACATGTGATTTCTTTTTAAAAAGTTACTATTCAGATTAAATTTTCCATGTCAATGTTTTTTCTTAAAAATTCACTATGTTTTTTAAAATATCATGTCTTTTAGTTAAATATAACATGCGAAATTTAAATGTTACATGCTATTTTGAAAAATCTCACGAAACTGTCTCACAGATCGTTGATCTTGCAACAAACGAAGGATAGTTTTGGTATTTCACATCATCCGACAAGGTGGGTCCATGGCTATTTTCCAACAAAAAACTTTCTCTCTGCTATTTTGTTAATTTGAGTGTTTTATTTGGCTATTTCTTAATATCTCCCATTAAAATAACCAAACATAAATGAAAAAAAAAAAAGAAATGTCTTCTCAAATCTGTTGAAAAAGTGAGTAGTAAGAGGTAGGCTTGAGCAAATAAACCGAACCGAATGTACCGAATCGAAATGGAACAAGAAAAACGAACCGAAAATTTGAAAATAACTGAATGGATACTAAATTTTATAATCGAAATAATCGTAATTGAATCGGTATCGAACCGAAATATTTTGGATAACCGAAATACCCGAAATCCCTTATATATTAATTGAGAAGCATTATTAATAAAAAACCTTGCCCCTCCGTGTGATTTACAAGATTGCCACGCTGACGTGTCGTGTTCACAGAGATTTATGGTTTAAACAATTAATTACCCAAATATTACTAGATTAATTACAAATGTGCCATGATATTCTAATTATTTTATTAATTAAAATTAAACATCAGTAATACAAACATCATATCTCTATCTATACATAAAGGATTCATGTAGTACATATATATATTAGATTGATCTAAGATCTATATTTTTAAATCGAGACTAACATATATATATATATATATATAACAACTCAAACATGTAAGCGTATAATTCATGTATATTAATATATTAGAATATATTTTTTTAACTTTTATAAGTATAAATTTTGCTACGTTCATAAATCCAAACTACATTTATAAATTAATTCTCATACCTAAACCATATCTAAATCTATCAGAATAACAACAATAAATTAATTTTCATATTTTAAAGGCAATCCAAATTTTTAAAAATTAAACAGAAACCTTACAAAATATATATATTCTATGATATCATCTTCATCCTCTCAAATTTACCGAGCACTAGGCATGACCACGGTTACGGTTATTGCGGTTACGGTTTGTTAACCTCCGGTTACGGTTATAAAATTTCTCTAACCGTAACCTTAACCGTTATATATACGGTTAAAACGGTTACGGTTAAATACGGTTACGGTTACAATGGTTACGGTTAAATACGGTTACGGTTATTTAATTATTACGATACGGTTAATATCAAAGACAAAATCTTAGGTATTTTCACCTTTAGAATAAATATTTTAATGATGATATATCAAATAATATTTATTTTATAATATATAATATATGTGATTATGTACTTTAATATTTATAGTTAATTAGCTATTTTGTTCTGTTAAGTAAACCAACGAATAACTAAATCAATGGTAATAATTATAAGGATTGAGTTATTATTTTATTGACAATACGTATTCCAAACAATACTATAGAAAGGATGTTATGAGAATTAAGAAATGATTACAGGAGTAGGAATAATAACTTGTAAATTATTTATGATTTGATTTGTGGAAAATGAGTAGTGGACGAGTGGAGTGGTTTAAATTTAGTAGTGGGCATATTGAACCATTTAAGGCACTGTTTTAGTGACATAATTATGTATTTTAAGTTTTAACTACACGGTTAATTATACGGTTAACCGTGCGGTTAACCGTACGGTTAATTAACGGTTTTGATACGTTTACGGTTAATTAACGGTTACGGTTAAAATATTTTTTAACCGTAATTAATCTATTTTTACGGTTAACGGTTACGGTTATTAACCGTTTTATACGGTTACGGTTTGGTTACGGTTGAGAAACGGTCCGGTTACGGTCCGAAATACGGTTACGGTTAGCTTTTGGTCATGCCTACCGAGCACACATCTTCTTAGTTTTCGAGCAATCTAAATTTTTTAAATCTTCATCAACTTTTTTACAAAGATGTATTTGTGTTTGTATTCCAATAATCGATTTTCCGATACGAAAAATCGATGATTGAAACATAAAACTTTTTTTAAACATGTTTCATAATACACTAACAGATTTTGTATTCCGGATAATACTACAATAACTTTTGTAACTAAAACTCCAATGCACTTCTTTAATTGTCATTTCATCCCGCACATAGTGCGGGTAAGTTATCTAGTACAATTATATTTTCAAAACAATTAGTTATTTATAGACCAAATAATCAAAAATACTTGAAAAATATATAAAAATAGTAAAAATACTCGAAAATAACCAAAAAATCTCGAAAAATATCCGAAAATACTCAAAAACAATCGAAATATCCGAAAATATCCTACGCAAAATAACCGAATGGATACTAAATTTTAAAGCCGAAAGAACCGAAACCGAACCGAAATTTCAAAATATCCGAATGAATACTAAATTTTAGAACCGAAACCGAATGGACCCAACCGATAACCGAACGGATAACCGAAAGCCCAGGCTTAGTGGGAGGTGTTGGAGATGGGCTGAGCACCCTCACTTAAGTCTGGCCCGAATCAAAATTAGTCCGATTGTTCGCCAATCAAGCCCATGAAACTCGACCAACATCACTACTGCCGACCTAGAAGAGATAAAAGCAAAATCGGCGAGAAAGAAAGTAAATTATATGGAATCCGAGAGCAAAGAAGAAACCCTAACTAAATAAATAGGGGACAATCGCTTCCTCAACTTTCGACTCATGAAACGTACAGAATTATTTACTTGTTTTTATTAGCTAACTCGTCTTTATGACAGTCTAACTCTTCCTTGTAACCTTTGGAACTTTGGGTTCCAACTGATAGAAATTTTCCGCTTTTTCCTACTATTTATCTCCAAAACTAGTGTACCCATCTATAGCATACGTCTCAAATCACCCAGGCTTTTTGGAAACCAGGCAAATTTCCGTAGACCATCGTCTCAAATCACCCAAGAGCAATCATATATTAATTCTTAACGTCTATGTTATCAGCATTTTACCGGCCAAACAAACGTTAAATTAAAGCTAGACGGACTGCCCAAAGTAGGATGCAACATAAAAAGAAAAAACATAAGGTGGCTACGCAAGAGATCCGAACGTGTAATATACCTAAACTACTCTTATTGTAATGCCAAAAAAAAAAAACTAATTATACAAAGAATAGATAAGCTTTCTTTTAAGAAAATAAAGAACATAAAAGTTTCAAATGTATTATAGCGCATTACTGGTAGTAGATATTTATAATTGAAAGTTTCTTTTAATTTTTAGTTGTCAATTAAAAGTATAGGATTTATGATTTATCAGTTAAGAACTTTGAAAGATCGTTTACCATATACATTTCTTTGTTTCTTAACATTTAAACCAAAAAAAAGATCGTTTACTAAACTATGGACTAAAGAACGTTACCTACATGTACTACATAAAATCAAACCGACAATTATATATTTATTTTTTAAAAACAAACAAGATTTTAATACTTTTTTTTGCAACTACTAGAAGATTAAAATTTACAAATAATTTGATTAAACAGAAAAATATATTTTATTCTGCTAGTACATTGATTAACAAACTTATCATTATCTTATCTATAAGTGAGTAAAGTACTGTTCCGGAGACAGTATCATGGCCAGAATAATTTTCTTCGTGAAAACTCTCTAAAGCTTGTTCAAAAGTAGACAACAAGGCTGGAGGACCAAGAATGTTTTGGAAACATGGTAAAAACCACAAAATTAAGCAACATCTAACTTTCTATAGTAAAAAAATATTTATCAGACTACAAGGATAATATTTCTTTACAAACACAAATTAAAAAAATCATATACATAAATGAAAACAAATACTAGTCATATCAAATCTGTTGATAAATTGAGTAGTGAGAGGTTAAAGAACAATAATCACTGCTTATTCACATTTTATAGAGAAGAGAAGAACCAAATCAAATGGTTCCAAGCATGAGGAAGAAAACATAGGAGATGCAAACCATGTAACCCCGATTAGTCGGTCCACGGATCTATTTGATTCACCACAGACGAACAATCTCCACCACCATACATGGTCTTCAAACGACAGTTAAGGGAAGTACGTTAATGCAACTGTGACAAAGCAGCGATAATGACAAGAATGAAGAAGATGATGAAAGATCACATTGTCTAAATAAAACAAAGGACATATAAACTAGACTTTGAATAATAGATGGGAAGAAACAAATTAACATTGTTAAAAGAAAACAAAGAACATATAAACTAGACTTTGTTGCCACCTCATCTTGATTGATTCGTTTATCAAAGCCTATCCTAATCTCTTTGTTCTTTCCTTTTGCCTCATTTAGGTAGCTTGATTTGCACTACACTTGGAACATAAGGGCACACAAGTGGCCAACAGTTTTTGTCTGCGGGTTCTCCAAGCTCCAATTTCATTAAGCATCCATCCTCTCCAATGATATTAATAGTGTCGCACATTGTTTTTTCTTCTTTTTCAAAAACCACAGCAACTTTCTTCTCCTCGTCAATGAAGAAAGTCTTATATAAAAGCAGTTGGTTAAGGTATGATGTATCCATTGTGAAGAAATTGCTCCATGTCATATTGTTGGCCTCAATCTTAGTTGTAATCCATATCTCAAACTTATATGTTTCGCTGTTCTGAAATAAAGCAGTGATATTCTCTTCTCTAACCAAAGATAGTGACGCAAACTGTGCACCCCAAGCACTAAATGGCAGAGGCAGAAGCGGTCCAAATCTCTCTCTTGTAAAATCAAAACAGATTATATGATCAATGGGTCCGTGTGCATGCCGTTCTATAGCACCCCAATAAGTGTTTCCCTTGAGAGAAAGGCCTCGTTGAGACATTATACACCATTGTGGAGAGACATCAAGAGTAGTCCATAAATCAGAATCAAAATCATAGATTTCATATACTAAAATGGTGTTTTTGGTGAAAAGGTTGAAGTTATCTATAACCCTCAAGATTTTGGGGCTACAACAAGATCTGTTTTCACTATTATTTTCGTATCCGAGAGCGTACTTCTTTCGTCCTTTCCATCCACTAGCGCCGTAACACATTCTGGTTTGGATCCATCTTGTTTGCCCCAAATACGGATTCCAAACCACAATCTTAGTATCATCGTCTTTCAAGATGCATAACAATAAACCCTCACAATAAAAGACTTGAGATATCTTGACTTGTTTTGTATCATCTAGGCAAGTAAGTTTACCTAGAAACTCTTTGGAAGGATTTTCATCGAGGACCATGCCCATTAAATAAACATTGTAATCCATCATCACGATCATCCGAGTCTGCCCTAATTCCCTTGCTGTTGCTTCTTCTTTGCCAATGTGCATCGTCGTAAAGCTCCGGCTTTTGAACAAAGTGTTCCACTTTTTGCAAGTTAATCGTACTGATCTCATAAATTTCAAAGGAACCCTAGAGATAATCTCCTCTACCAAATCTCTTGGAAGATTTGATATCGACATCGTCATCGTCATCGTTTCAAGTTGAAACAAGGGACTTGAGAAACCCTTTTCCAATTTCTTGCGTGTGGCGATTCATAAAGACAAAGAACCCCTAAACGAAGCTGGGCCAATTAAAGGCTATAGACTCTACTTGGGCTTTTACAAATGTCCAACTTAAAAATTTGATACACCATAGTATTCATACGTATCTCTTTTAGCCAATCAAGAGGGTCAAACCCCACGCCTACACTTCTTTCTTTTGTGTATAATAATTTCTTAGTTATACAAAATTCTTCTTATTCCTTTAGATACTTGAATCATTTCAATGTTTTAAATGAATGAGAAGAATTTTGAATATAAACTGACTTTTTAACATAAATTATATTTACTTTCACTGAATTGAAAACAAAATTGAAAACCCGTCCCGCATTTTTAATCTACATACCAACATATGTTATACGCAAAACTAGTATAACTTTTCGGGTTGGATTTCCCATCCTTCTACTTGTTGAATTTGGGGAACATATGTTTTGTTGGAATTGTTGCAAGCATAGAATTGTAAAGCTTGACATTAATTGTAGAACAATTAGTCTTTAAGTAAGTCAAGTTTCTTGAGGTTGGTTTTCCTCTCACCAACAAGAAAGAGACATGTGCTTCATAACGGCGAAAATGCTCTCAAAGATGGGCGCGGAGATGATGAGATCCTTGGCCTTCGGAACAGTCAGTATACGACTAGTCCTAAAGGTCAATCTTGTATAATATAACTCTTGGAAACCAGGCTTCAAGGTCACTTCTGTGGACCATTGTCTCATATCACCCAAAGGCAACCATATATTAACCTTACGTCTATGTTATCAGCATCTTAATTACGACCTTCTGCTGGCCAAACAAACGTTAAAATTCAAACTAGACGGACTGGCCAAAGTAGATGCAACACCCTAAAGGCAAGGCCGGCCCTGAATGGAGCCAAGTGAAGCAATTGTATGGACCCCTAATTTTGTGGGGCCCCATCTTATATTTTTTTAATATAAATATAAAATGAAAAATAAATATAGTATATATTTAAGCAAATATGATTATAAGAAAATTAAAAATTAATTTCTTTTAATTTGGATTCTATAAAAAAATGAAAAAACTTTAATTTTTTATGCATTTAGTGTACTAAAATAAATTAAATCAATATATAAATTACATAATAATACTAAATATTAAGTATATAGTTATATTCCTTGTTCTAAAAATCGGCCGCCTAGCCGCCTAGGCGCTGATCGGGTGGGGACCGCGGCGATTTTGTCCAAATCGGTAAAAAAAATCGGTGATCCGATTTTTGGCCGCCTAGACCGCCTAGGCGTCCGCCTAGCCCGCCTAGACGGCGCCTAGCCCAATTTTTTTTTTTTTTTTTTACATTTTTTTTTTCTTTTTTTGGATCTAAAATTCAAAACGTCTCACTTATATTCATAATTTTTTATAAAAATCATAAATTTGACCTTAAATTCTTGTTTTCATGTGTTTAATGCAATTTTAAAAACAAGATTATATAAATTTCTTATTTATAATGGATTAATATATTTTTAAAACATTAAATAGCCCTAAAACTAATCCCCGATTAATCCCCGTGTAATCTCCGATTTTCTTGCTAGGCGCTAGGCGCACCCTCACCGCCCGACTAGCGCCTAGCGATTTTTTGAACACGGGTTATATTATAGGGCTCCATTTTTTATTTTGTATATGGTCCCAATTTTCTCAGGAACGGTTCTGCCTAAAAGCACTGAAAAAACAAACTCTTCATCGGAAGTAGCATGGGTTTCGTAATTAGTTCATCCATAAATGGTCTAAATTAAACAAACAATAGAATCAGGTCCGGCCCAGAAGATAAGCCACTAAAACCATAGATTCGGGCCTCAAATTTTAAGGGCTTTTTAGATAGAAATTTGTTATTTTTCATACAAATTATTTTACAAAGCCTTTAATTTTGTGGACTACAATAAAACTTATTTTAAAAAGGCTTTTAATTTATGGGCCCTTTTACATACTATTATACAAACTAAAAAAAAACCTAAAAGCTAGACGATACAGTTTCTTCCAGGTTTCTTCTTGGACAGTTATAGAATAGTGTTCAGTTAAAAAAAAAACTACGGTGCTACGTAAAAGATCCGAACGTGTAATATACCTAGATTACCTGTATTGTAGCAGACGATAAAAAAAAAATTTAATTAAGAAAGATAAGCTTTTTTTTTTTGGATAAAATGAAGAACAGAAAAGTTTCAAAAATTTTATAGTGGCATTAGTAGTACTAGATATTTTATAATTGAACGATTTTTTAAAAATTTTAGTTGCCAATTAAATGTTTCTACAATTTATGATTAATTACGTCGAACTTTGAAAAATTGTTTACTAATATTATCCAAAAAAGAAAAAGAATCGTTTAATAATAAACAATTGAATAAACTAGGCCTGGGCAAAAAAACCGCTAACCAAATAACCGACCGAACCGAACCGAAAAAAACCGAACCATATCCGAACCGAAGTTTTTAAAATAACCGAATGGTTAGTAAAATTCCCTATCCAAACTAACCGAAACCAAACCGAACCGAACCGATAACCAAACGGTTAACCGAAATATCCAAAAACCTATAAGATACCTAAAGATAATATCCAAAACTATAAATATAAACTCAAAAAATTAATCATTTTTAGAATCAAAACAATCAAATACTTTAAATAATCAAAATATCCAAATATTGTTTGTTATATTTGTCAAAGTTAAATACTCTTTTACAAAATTGAATCAAATTTTAATTTTCTTTCTAATATTTTTCTTTTTTGTATTTTCTTTTTGTATTTTTTCGGTTAGTTTCGGTTATATTCGGTAAATTTCGGTTATTTTGGGTAAAAACCCGAACCAAACCAAACGTGATAAAAGTTTGGTTAGTTACGGACTTACGGTTATCTATTTAAATATCCAAACCGAACCGAACCGAAAGGTAACCGAACCGAACCGAACCGAAATTCCTAAAATATCCGGATGGTTAATATATTACCATATCCAAACTAACCGAAACCAAACACAACCGAACCGAAACCGAATGGTTAACCGGCCTAGAATAAAGAAGGTTATCTATAGTGGACTACACAAAATCAAACCGACAAATTTTATTTTCGGAAATTAACAATATTTTCATACCTTTCCTTTTTTTTTTGGAATCAAACTCATCATCATTATCCCATCTATATAACATTTCAAAAAGATATTAACAAACCTTTTTTTTTTTTTAATAAACCTAATATACTTTAACCGTTTTAGTCTCTATATATATATATCTCCCCGGGACTTTCTGTTACCTTCCCATGGATAAGCGAAAGATGCCGACGAAGCAACCAACCTCCGAAGAGTTCAACAAAGCCGCCTTCAAGCTTCTTGCGAATCCCCACATCAAACCGACGGTGGAGTTCATCACCGCCCTCACAAAGCAACGGAAGAATCAAGAAGATATCAAGTTCTTCCGTTTTTGCGTTGCCAATTACCCGGGATGCTTCTCCGTCAAGCTCATGCGTGTCTACGCCTCGAAAGAGCCACGTGTCTCTTACGAGATTAGAGAGAGTGCGATGAGGTTTCTCTACCTTATCTTCATCATAGAAGAAGCTTCTATGGATTTTGAAGTGGCTCACGTATTCTCGACTTTACTCATATCTTGCCTTGAAGAACAAGTTATATCGGAAACCAGTTTCAAGATTCTTTCCATGCTCGTGAACCGTGTCGCTTTCGAGATATTCAACATTCAAGAAAAAACGTGGCATGGCCTGTGTGAGTTTATCTCGTCTAAAGCGGAACCAGAGTTTGCGAAAGCGGTTTTCGTGTTCAAGAGCTTGTCGATGCCTTTGGATGAAGAAGAGTTTCTGATTCCTCTCATGGAGAATCTTCTTCCAGCGATCTTGAAACGTTTAGGTGACAACGAGGAAGAGAGTTCGAGCCAGTGGGGTTTAGCGTTTGTGGGTGGTTTTTGTGCGGCGGTTCACTTGTTGGAGACGACACGTGTTGCTTTGGTGGAGAAACTTGCTAATGAGATGTTGAAATCGGTGAACAGAAGAATGGAATTAGGGTTTCTTTTGAAAACTCTTAGGGATGTTGAAGTCGCTATAATGGAACAGTTATGGTGGTATTGTTCTACTGAGTTTAGATTCGTTTTGGGTTTAATTCGGAGGATTGATGCCATTATCACTGAGAAGACAGCGAAGAATGTGTTGGAGAGGATTAAGAAGGTTGTGAAGAAGAAGATGCATGAATATGTTGGAGAGATTGATAATGGTGACGAAGATTGGCTTAATCAGCGCCATTGAGTTTGGTTGCTTCCTGCCCAAGTAAACAAATTCTAGGGGAATGTTTTGGTTTTGGTTTTGGTTTTGGTTCTGGTTTTGGTTTTTGGTTTGGGTAGTGTTTAGGTCTTTATATATTGGTGTTACGTACGAGTGGATTGAATGAAGGGTGATTTACATGTTAAGGCACTTTTAGCCAAAGTTCTTACACTTTAGACACTTTCAAAACAAGAGGCACTTCTCCTTCTTTTTGGAGACAAAAATGACGCTATTGCCCCTAATTTAACTAAAGACATGTTATACACTTTCTCTCCTCTCTCGTTTGATTAGAAATATTAGTTAGAAAAAAGTCTCAGCTAATCGATTTCTCTTTCTCCAACTACCATCATCGATTGTGTCAAAATAAAAACTAACATCATCGATTTCTCTTTTACGAGACGAAGAAGGAGATCCTTACTCTCCTCTACAGAACTCCCTCTTCCCTTAATTTGATGGGTTCTTAATTTTACCCTTCAATTTAGATTTATTCTTTGTTAGTTCTGTTGAATTTATTGCCTTTGTTTTTGAATTAAAAATGTTTGGATGTCATTTGGGTAGACAGAGAATGATTTGACTCATAAGGGTGGGTATGTGGTGGTTTTGCAAGAAGATTGGTTGATGTTTATGAGCTTTTTTTGAAGCTCCGGCCTGTGAGGCTGCGGTGGCCGCCGTGACGACTTCGTTGATGAATGACGACTTCGTTGATGAATGATGGAGTTCCTATGGTTGATTTGTGAGAGAATGACGACTTCGTTGATGAACTCCACCACCTCCGGTAAATCCTTAGCTCCGTTCCTCTCTGAGATCAACAAAAAATTAGTTAGCATCACTCTTTGATGTCTCTCTTTGATGTTTAATTCTTTGTCTTGCAAGTGTTTGATGTTATGTCTCAAAGGATATGTCTTTTGTTTCGTTTCAGTTTCTTTTGCTGGGAATTTAGATTTTTTCAGTATCTTGATAGCAAGATTCAATTACTTATGTCCAAATCAATCAATGAACTTAGATTTGAAGTTCAAAAGCTTGATTTGAGTGAATTAACTTCCAAGTAGCTCAATTTCTCTACTAGTTGATTCTATCTGATGGATTTCACTTTGTTTATTAGGCTTCTCAATAAACCCTACCCCCTTACGTACCAAGAGAGAGAAAGAAAGTGTCGAAGTGGAGAGAAAAAACAGTGGTGTTTGGTGATTACGTAATTGAAAGGACCAATGGCAACGGTTCCAATTTAGACGAGGGTGATGATGGTGGGATCGATGCTGCACTTGGTAGGAATCTTGTGAATGTTTTCCTTCTGTTATCCATTTGATCGTCTGCTTAAGCATATGGTAGGTAAGATGGCTCCTGGATTTCAAGATAGGTTTACGAAAAAACACAAAATGCATATCCATTTATTTGCCGCTACATGGATATTTCATCAATTTCTTATCCCATTTCTTACACTATATTCATTTGTTCGATGTTACATGGATACACCTCCACTCCTAAACGTCATATATGAATTGATACACCTCCACTTCTAAATGTCATATATGAAGACGTACTTGCGGATTGTCAACCATAGAAATCTGTCCATTCTCCTTCAAAAATATGTTCGCCAACTTATGAAATGTGCTTGTATTTGTTTTTGGTGAACATATGATTATATTAAAAAAATGAACACTATATTCACACGACCATTTAGCGGTGAACAAATATATTTTACGGTATAGACGACGATCCATGACAATATATTTAAGATGGATTATCCACACAATATCTCTTTGGTCAAAATCAACATTCTTTTACTTACCCTTATGCTTTGTTTTTAAACCAACTTTATCATGATAACTTGTTCACTTAAACTTGACCATGTGGAGTTATGGTGAAACATGACAAACACTTGAACACAAATGATTCATGTGTATTTGAGTCAAAAAGAGTGTCATTGGTGATGCAAGAATCACAACTTTAACCATACACTAGATACTCTAAACCTTACTCCCTACCTATTAAACTCAACCCGATATTTTTTTTTAAAAATATATAACACTAAACCCTACTTTCTATCTACTAACCCCAACCCGATTTTTATATTTTTTATATATATAACACTAAACCCTACTCCCTACCTACTAAACCCAAACCAATATTTAACTTCTTCTAAATATATAATATTAAACCCTACTAACTACCTACTAAACCCAAACCGATATTTAGCTTCTTTTAAATATATAACGCTAAACCCTACTCTCTACCTACTAAGGTGAATTTGATCTTACGGTGGAGAATGATGTCCTTTGATAAGAATCTTGAGATATTGGTTTGGATTGGATAAGTGTATGGTCATATGTAACACGGAACGATATATAACTTCTTTTACATACTTGATACTTAGGTCAGAGTTGAGGTCAAAAACGGAGGAAGCTAATCGGCGACACCGATCTATTAGATCGTCTGCTTAAGTACATAGTAGGTAAGGTGGCTTTTGTATGTCAAGATAGGTTTACGAAAAAACACTAAAATGCATATCCATTTGGTCGCCGCTAGATGGATACACCGTCATTTCTTACACTATATCCATTTGTTCGATGTTACATGGATACACCTCCACTCCTAAATGTCATATATGAACGCGTACTTGCGTATTGTCAACCATAGGAATCCGTCCATTACCCTTCGAAGATATGTTCGCCAACTTATAAGGTGTTCTTGTATTTCATTTTGGTGAACAATGTTTAGATATGTTCGCCATCGTGTCTCTGTTTGTGGAGCTAAACCATTTTAATTTAAGAGATGTAAAATATAGGATCATTCCTATGGTTATGTTCATATGACTTTAGGAATTATTGTGGAATAAGGTTAAACACTAAATCCTATCCACCATCTTTAGTGTCTCAGTCACAACAACAATATAAACCTAAAATGAGATGAAAGTTCGGTTTAAAGGTTAAAACACTAAATCCTACCCCTACCTGCTAAACCCAAACCGATATTTAACTTTTTTTTAAAATATATAACACTAAACCCTACTCCCTATCTACTAAATCCAAACCGATATTTAACTTATTTTTAATATATAACACTAAACCCTACCCCCTACCTACTAAACCCAAACCGATATTTAACTTCTTTTAAATATATAACACTAAACCCTATCCCTACCTAGTAAACCAAACGGATATCTAACTTCGTTAACAATATAAACCCAAACCGATATTTAACTCCTTTTAAATATATAACACTAAACCCTACTCCCTACCTACTAAACCCAAACCGATATTTAACTTCTTTTAAATATATAACACTAAACCCTATCCCTACCTAGTAAACCAAACGGATATCTAACTTCGTTAACAATATAAACCCAAACCGATATTTAACTCCTTTTAAATATATAACACTAAACTCTAGATGTTTAGGGTGTCCATTTGTCTTTTGACCATTGGTTCACTTGTACATGGATACTACTTAACTAATAAAAATGTACTTTGTTTTAATTCTTTTTTCAATGTAGATAACTATACACTAGATAATACTTAGTAAACCCAAGCAATAACCATAACTACTACTTAACTAATAAAACTGTACTTTGTTTTAATTCTTTTTTCAATGTAGATAACTATACACTAGATAATACTTAGTAAACCCAAGCAATAACCATAACTACTACTTAACTAATAAAACTGTACTTTGTTTTAATTCTTTTTTCAATGTAGATAACTATACCCTAGATAATACTTAGTAAACCCAAGCAATAACTATAACTACTACTTAACTAATAAAACTGTACTTTGTTTTAATTCTTTTTTCAATGTAGATAACTATACCCTAGATAATACTTAGTAAACCCAATCAATAACCATAACTACTACTTAACTAATAAAACTGTACTTTGTTTTAATTCTTTTTTCAATGTAGATAACTATACCCTAGATAATACTTAGTAAACCCAAGCAATAACCATAACTACTACTTAACTAATAAAACTGTACTATGTTTTAATTCTTTTTTCAATGTAGATAACTATACCCTAGATAATACTTAGTAAACCCAAGCAACAAAATCTTAACCCTATACCCTATTTCCCAACTTTATCTTAATTCATGTTTCAATATAGATAAGTATACTCTAGACCATACTTTGTTAACCCAAGCAACAAAATCTTAACCCTATACCCTAAATCGTAACTAAATAATACATCACATTTAAAGGTGACTCTATATCCCAGTTGCTCGTGGATAGTATGCGTTGGACAAAACTTATTTTTATCATGTTTTCTATATTGAAAAACCAAAACTTATTTTCAGCATGTTTCAATATAGGTAACTAATACCCTTTATCTTTCAATAAACCATTTCAATATTGTTAACCTTTCAATAAGGTGATTGTAAGAAAGAATATCTATTAATGAAAGGTACGTAATGTTCAGTAATACAATCCTTCCCGTTTATATTGTTTATAATAGTTGTTTTTTTCAATTGAAATTTAAAAGCTTATCCATAACGGCAATATACTTTGGCTATATCGACTTGAATATTTAAACTCCGATTGTTTAAATCTAAACCCCCTAAACATCTAACACCTAAAATCAATACTCAAAACCATAATTAATACACACAGCCTTATATCCTAAAATCATAATTTTTAAACATAAACTAGATTTTAAACCGTAAACCAATACTCAAAACCATATATATATCGTAACTATTAAAAAAGTGATAATTTTACCAAACGATAAAACACATTCTCATAAAATTAAAGACATAACTGTCCACTGATGAGTGCCCAAGCAGTCATGTCCACATGGTCATCTAGTAGCTCACATAGTCCTTTCATATCAATACACAAATTTATATATGAACGATAATCGTCAATTAAAAGAATACCGTCCATTTTTCTTTAACCAATATTCACTTGTGTATGGACACTGCCATCATTATAAAATGGATCCATATCCTATTCGTAAAATATGTTTATCCAGCTATAAAACACATTAACAATAAACAAAGACAGCGTTGCCCATTGATGTTTGTCTAAGCGATATTTGACT